CAAAGTTATATTATATTACTATATATATGAATACATAAATAAAAACTTCACAACAGATTATGTATGTGGGCGTGTTTAAATCAAATCAATTGCACCTACTTCTCTTCTTTTCTCCACATAAATTACGTGCATCTATAAACATATATTCTTTATACATAATATATGCCATCTTTTTTAGATTAATTATTAATTATAGGAACTAAAGAATGTGGAAGTTGAAGATAGCAGATGGAAACAAAGAAGAGCCCTACTTGTTCAGCACCAACAACTTCCTCGGACGGCAGACATGGGAGTTTGATCCCGAGCGAGATGGCTACAAATGCGTTAAGGAGAGGGGTCGGTTTCTTACCGGCATTAAAAGCCAGTGATTATGGTCACTGGCCTGCTGAAAATGCGGGTTCTTTGTTCTTCCTTCCTCCATTGGTATGTCTCTGTCTGCATAAGGATATATGAAATATCCTTAAGCTCAAACGCAGCAGAAGAACGATTACATTATTACAAGACGTGATGGTAACAATTCGAGCATTAACATTATATAGTATAAGATATGGTCATTGGCAGATCTGCAAAGACTTGTCTATGCAGTGGAGATGTGGAGTGAGACAGGTATCATCAAATATTGCGTAGTCTCCGCAAAAATATGTAAACAATGGGAAAGCTAGAGACGTTGAGGAGTTACGAACACAGCTTTCCGGTACTCGGCAAGTGCAAATATTGGGAAAGTGTTTCTGTAGGCAGCATAGTGTATCAAACAATTCTTCATAAAAACTCCTAGTATTTCCTGCAAATGCGATAATAATAAATATTATTCTAAATGCAATCTGTACTAAGGTAGTGTAAGTAAAAGAAACAGAGGATCAATATGAATCAGAAGACTCGTGTTTCTATCAAAGAAGATCTTGTCTAACCTGTTGAGGGAAATCTCCATTTTCCATTTGTGAATTGATGATAAGCTTCGCAGCACGGTGAAGCGGTACTGGATCTCTCTCCGCCTGGTTTT